TGCATGTCTCTTGTGACAAATGTATCCGAGTCTTAACCTGGAAAGAGACCTCTTACATGCCTCAGTATTAACAAAAATAAATTTAAAAATAAAATATTATTTTGATATATTTTAAAATAAAAAATAATTATATTTTTAAATAAACCCTTGAAAGTAGAGAATGTATATTTCAATGGTGTAAATTTTTCTAATCACATAACAATAATGATAGTAATGTGTTTGTGTCAAATTTAAAAATATTTTATTTTTTATTTTAAATTAATTATTTTGATGTTTTTAAATTATTTTAATATGCTAATATTAAAAATAAATTTTAAAAAAATAAAAAATATTATTTTAATATATTTTTAACTAAAAAATATTTTAAAAATAATTGTTTTGTTTTTTGTTCCGTGGGCCAAAAAACCAGAGCCAAAAAACTAAAAGTATCAGTTGATGTTTTCTTCTAGAAAAATCTAGCAATGTAATTTAATTGTTGTCATATAAAAAGAAAAAAGAAGGGGGTATGGTATTCTTTTGGCTTGATATTTCTGTTATCAAACTGTTTGAATTGGAAAATAAAATGAAAAGATTCCTAGAATGTTATTTAATTTTCAAAAAATATAATAAAATTAGTTTGTGTTATTTCTAAAAAGAAAAATTATTTTAGTTTGTGCTATTTTTTCAATTAATCTTTTTTGGAAAAGTATTATTTTAACAATTCAGGAATTTCTATGAAAAAATAGGATGAGCCAGCACAACCTCGCCCTTTTCCCTTCATTACCACAAGCTACATATCAGCTGAATCTACCTCAAGTTCTACTAATTTTTTTATAACCATCATTCCAAGCCAAAACAAAATCATGATAACAAACACACCATTCTTTCCACGCTCACATTCTGTTCCTTGTGAATCTACAAAGCATTATCTTAAAAATATACTAAAATAATATTATTTTTAAATTTTTTGAATTTATTTTTAATATTAATATATTAAAATGATATAAAAATACCTGAAAAAATTATTATAAAGATAAAATAATAACTATTAAAAAACATAATTAGACCATAATATCACATAAAACCAAATAGAAGCTAGAATATCTAAATATGATTCGTATTTATTGAAAAAAAAAGCTAGAGTATTTGTATGCATAAATTATTAAAAAAGAAATAACTCTTGAGGTGATTATATTGCAATAATGTTTTATTGTTCATTGTCTTTGCTTTTAGTGTGAATTGGAATAGTTTATATTTTTGAACTTTTTATTTTGATCCTTAGATATTTTTCTCACTTGATTTAGTTATTTTAAGGCAAAATTGAAGTCCACTTGTTTTTTATTTGTTAAGGAGTTGTGAGATTAAAAAATAGGATCAAATCAGAAATGGTGAGTAAAATAAGTGGCAACTTAGAATTTTGTAGAAAAAGTTCAATTTGGTGCCTCTTCTTTTAATTTTGTAGAAATGATGATTTTTCTTGGAAATACAACAAAATAAAAATTTTTATTTTTTAAAAATTATTTTTCACATCAACATATCAAAATTATTTGAAAACACCAAAAAAATATTAATTTAAAGAAAATAAAAAAATTATATTTTTTAAAAAATATTTTTAAAACATAAAAATATACAGGGGCATCCAGCGCTGAGCCACAACCAGTATCCGGTTAAAATCACCCAGAGAATTGTTGATGGAAGTTTTTGCAAAAAATAAAAAATTAACAAAAAAAAATATGGGAAGAGTAAGGCTAGGTGCCCGGCCCTCTTCCAGAAAGCCCAGCAGCCGACCTACTTAAAAAAGCACTATCTACTAGTTCGCTTAAGCGGCCCAGTTATCTAGAAATAATCCAAGGCCCATCAATGGCCAGTCATCATCATCATCATGGTGCATGAGAGAGCGAGGCCTGCTTTACTGAAATGCGATCAAACAAGAACACGCCTTTTTACACATAGCTGTATCCAGTTCTGAGCCCTAACAGAAGACTCGGGTCTGATAAGAATTTGATTGCAAGGGCCAGTAAAAAGCTGGGGCCATAACATTACACATCCAATCAAAGAGTCAGTTTCATGATGGGTTTGATCTACACTCTGCACATCACTTGTAGACTGTTACATAGCTATTCATTCCAACTTGCAGGTTAGCGATGCAAAGAAATGAGCTTCGTTGCTCTTGCTTGTCGTTGAAGAACTCTATTGTTCAAATGAGAGGGAACACGGAGGTTAACTTCCACAAGCCATGCACTCTTCCCGGTTCTGCAATGAGCATGCTGCCTGCTTCATGTCAGAACTAGCATCATCCTCTGCCTTGTTAGCATTTTCCTGTTCCATCACAAAACAACAAATTCTGTCAACAATCACGTAAAAATATTTGCTTTTACGGAAAATCCAATCTATTTAGGTAAAACTGCAAATCATAGTCTAAAATGGAAAGATTGAATATATACATATATATATATATATATAGATGCGCGCTTAAAAAATAAATGGTTAGTAGTGAAACCATGTTTGAATTTCTACTTCTTTCCATATTTGCTTTAGGGTATTTTTAGAATTATAATAATGATAGCGGTTCAAAATATTTTTTATTTAAAAATACATCAAAATAAAATAAAATTATTTTTTAAAATTTATTTTTTACATCTATACATCAAAACAATATGAAAATATAAAAAGAAAATTCATTTTAAACAAAAAGAAAATTCAAATTTTGAAGGATGCACTGTGTTCCCCAAACACTCTCTTGGTCTCCATTCTCAAAATGGATTTTGTACCTTCAACACTAAGAGCTATAAATGAAAAAGATTTATGGAACATTTGAACATGATCTAATGATATAAGGAAGAGAAATTCACATACATTGTTGAGAACAGTTGTGTTAACAGTGAATTTGATAGCATCTGCAGCAGCACGTGTTCTCAGGTAGTACATACCTGTTTTCAGGCCCTGTACAGAAAACATGACGAAACCGATAATAAACATATCAATGGATACACCCAAAACGCACTTTGAACAATCATAGCATAGAGAAAAATATGTTAAACTAGCCACATGAGCTCTAATCATGTCCTGTCAACAAAGCCATGGAGTAGGCTACGTGCTATACTGTTTTCTTTTCCCAGTGACAGGTTACGCAGCCTTGGTAGCAACATGAAGTGCAAAATTGATCAGGAGTGGTGCACTGTAATGAGCATGCAGTGTATTTATACTGCAAATGAATAAATATAAGCATCATACCTTTGACCAAGCATGGAAATGCAGGGAAGTTAGTTTCCCAAGATCAGGTTGCTCCATGTGAATATTCAGACTCTGACTTTGGTCTATGTAGCATCCACGATCAGCAGCCATGTCAACCAATGTCTTTTGCTTGATTTCCCACACCGTCCTGGTATCACACAGTAATTCTGCCTTGGCATGAAAAGATACAAATATGCTACTAAATATAGAATATAGACAAGATGAAGATAACCGTACTTATAGATAGCTTTTAGCTGATCGGGAATCTCAGGGATTTTTGAAACCGAGCCATTTTCATTTATTATCTTGTTTTTAAGAACAGGTGACCAGAGACCCATCTCCGTTAAATCATGAAGAAGGTGTTTGTTCATCACAACAAATTCACCGCTGAAAATGAAAGTGGTTAGATGGCAGAGGGAAGAAGAACCACACTTCACAGAAATCAGCCTGGTAAAGCAAAACAAACCTTAAAACTCTGCGGCTATAGATATTGGATGTATAAGGCTCAAAACATTCATTGTTGCCAAGTATCTGACTTGTTGAAGCAGTGGGCATAGGTGCTATGAGAAGGGAATTTCTTACACCACTTTTGGAGATCATTTCCCTAAGAACATCCCAATCCCACCTATCTGATGGTGTCACACCCCACATGTCCATCTGCAAAATCCCCTGAAAGAAAAGAAATTTTGCTCAAGTTCTAGCAATCTTATATTTCATGTCTTCTCGAGGGCATGTAACAAGGCATCCAAAAGAATATGACATAGGCAAAATGCCATATCTTGGGTGATTTCTTTGCATGATGAGTCATTTTGAGGAAGAAAAAGGAGCAAAAAGATCACCCTTCTCTATGTATTTCTCATGCATTAACAATATAAGAATGAGACTACTTCCTAGACCAAGCTCACCGTGTTATCCCTTTTGAAACATCTCTCAAATTCTTCTGAACATTAAATCTAACATTTGCACCATCCTATAAAGCCAAGGCATGAACCAAAGAAACAAGATAGCAGAGGTCATCTAGTTGAAAATCAGACACCAAGGCACGCCATCTTAAACGTCTCTGGAATACATTCACCGAAACTGATAAAGTCAGAGACCCTTACCTTGCTTACAGGGCTTCCACAATATGTTTCATAAGGGCCATCTTTAGCAGCCAGCTCAGAAGAAGATCTCAGAGCATGGTAGTATATGGTTTCAAATATGTCTTTGTTTAGCCTCTTTGCCTGTTACAAACAAGTGAAAAAATCAGTCTGGATGAACAATGCAAATGAAACCATATCATATTTAAGAGAAGCAAATTAATACCTCTGGTGAATCAAATGGCATGCCAAGTAAAATGAAGGTATCAGCAAGACCTTGAACACCAATACCAATTGGTCTGTGTCTTAAATTTGACCTCCTTGCAGTTTCAACGGGATAGTAATTAACATCTATGATTTTATTAAGATTTGCAGTGATCGTCGCTGTAACCTAAGACAGCAACAAAAGTTTATAAGAAACCAAAGTCTCCCGGATAGAATAATTCGGATTTCTTAAAAGATAAAAAGATACTGTGCTAATTATACTGTGCTATCTTAAATATATCTAGTGTAAGTGAGTTTCTAGAAACAAATGTACATCAGCATGCTTGTCACTATGTGCAACAAGTTAAATTTAGAGATCTACATTCTAACTAAACAAACCTCTGCTAGTTTTTCAAAATCAAAGTATCTGTTCTTTGATTCTCTACTTCCAACCATCTTGGAAGACTCTGATTCCGCAGGTACCCCCTACAGAAAGAAGTAAAGATTGTTGCGCATCATATTAAATTATTAATATGGTATGGAAAAAAAAAGATCTGGTAGACAAAACTATCAATGCAACATTCATTTTCAGTGTCCCACCCTTTCCATGACAAATCGTGGAAGGGCAACTGATGCCAGATTGCAAACTGCTGTCTCTGTTGGACTTGAGAACTCAATAACTTCAGTACAGAGGTTTGAAGACTTGATAGTGCCCAGATTCTGCTGGTTGCTTTTCCTGTTGCAAGAATCCTGAACAAACAAAAGGTCCATTTACAATACACTAAAAACAATGAGGAACATTGAAATGCCTATAGCCATGGTAAATTACATGTAATACCTTGAAGAGCATGTAAGGCGTTCCTGTTTCAATTTGGGAATTTAGAATCTCAAACCAGAGTTTCCTAGCTGAAATAATTTTCTTTGCCCTATCCTATATTCATAAACACACAAGTAATTGTCAGTTCCAGCGCAGACAAATACTTCAACATTTTGATACAAACAACCATCACAGAAGCAACAAGTTTTCTACCTCTCTTTCATACTGGGTATACAGTTTTTCAAATTCTTGTCCCCAACAATTAGCCAAACCTGGAGCCTCACTAGGGCAAAACAAAGACCATTTGTCATCACCTCGAACTCTTTCCATGAAGAGATCAGGAATCCAAAGAGCAAGGAATAAGTCTCGAGCTCGATGTTCTTCCTGCAGAAGGCATCGAGAAGAAAAGGCACAAGATAGAGTCATGAAAAATAAGAAAGGAAAATTCAAGGATCTGAATCAAAAAGAAAAAAAAAAGGGGGATCTTTTTCATTTGGAACTAACCAATATATACCCCTACTTAGATTAATGTCAATGTTATGTAAGGCCATTAAGTAATGAACATACCTTTCCATGGTTTTTTCTGAGATCTAGAAACTCAAAGATATCGGCGTGCCATGGCTCCAGATATATAGCGAAAGCACCTAATCGATATAAAAAGATTGGACATTAAAAAAAATAAAATAAAAAAGACGACCCAATAAATCACATAGCATAGACAAAATTTAACTACATTCATGCAAAATCACTCTGATCTGCTGTCTTTGCTTTATCCATAAAAAACTTGCACTCAAACGCATTAAAAAATATAAGCAACACGACTGAGCTTAAAACTTGCACTCAAACGCATTAAAAAATATAAGCAACACGACTGAGCTTAAAACTTGCACTCAAACGCATTAAAAAATATAAGCAACACGATTGAGCTTATACCTTTCCTCTTCCCTCCTCCTTGATCAACATAGCGAGCAGTGTTGTTGAACACTCGAAGCATGGGAACTATACCGTTGGAAGTACCATTTGTCCCCTGAATGTAACTGCCTGTGGCGTGGATATTATGAACAGCAATACCAATTCCTCCAGCTAATTTGCTAATAACAGCACACTCCTTCAGAGTATCATATATGCCTCCAATGCTGTCATCTTTCATGCACAGGAGAAAGCAACTGCTCAACTGCCATATCAACCGATCACCCAAGCCAAATAAATAACAAAATCACATGAGCAATTCATGTAGATTAGCATTGTTATTCAGATGATGGAGAACATTGATACAACAAACATACTTGAGGCTGGGCAGTCCCTGCATTGAAAAGGGTAGGGGTAGCATGAGTGAACCAACTTTGAGACATTAAGTGATAAGTTTTGGTGGCAGATTCAATGTCATCTTTGTGGATACCAACAGAAACTCTCATCAGTAGGTGCTGTGGTCTTTCTACAATCTTTCCATCAACCTTCAAAAGGTAGGACCTCTCAAGAGTTTTGAAGCCAAAATAATCATATTCAAAATCCCTGTCATAGAGGATCTCACTGTCCAGCCGTTCAGCATTCTGATACCAGTAAAGGCATTTGATTATTATATGTACATAATTTATACAATTCCTCGGTCACGGATTAATAGAAAAAATGGTTAGTTTCGCATGTTGTCCACGCCTCTGTTACCTGCAGCTTGAAAACAATAAAACAAAAATTAAGATGAGTTTACCTTCATGATTATTTCATAGACATCATCTGCGATGAGAGGAGCCTTCTGCCCAGACCCCTTATTTAAGTTATTATACATTAATTTGATCCTGCATTACCAGCCTTTAAATCAGTTTCATGTAAATACAAAATACAATTAAATCAAAACAAAACCCCATGAAACCAAATACTCACGTCTCTGAGAAGGATTTTTTTGTATTCTTATGCAGCCTCGAGACAGAAATTCTTGCAGCCAACTGCACCACATTATCAAACAAAAACAATCAAGTTCAACACAAACCTATCAGTAATCAACTAATCAAACTGACTTCAAGCAACAGAAATCACCACGTAAACAATTATCCCCGATCGATCAAAACCCAAACGAAAATCACCTCAAGCAGCCCAAACAACCACTAAAAAACACAGTTGCACTAAAACACGAGCTTGACAACAAATTTGACACGCACACACGATAAACCACAAAAATCAAAATTAACAAAACACCAGATTGCAAAAGATTACAAAATCACTGACCAAAGCATAATCAGGGTGATTAGCAGTCATAGAAGCGGCGGTCTCAGCAGCTAACTCATCAAGCTGGGTTGCAGTGACACCTCTATAGACCCCTGCACAGACTTTCTGTGCCACAAGCACTGGATCACAGTGATCGTTACTTAACCCATAACTCAATTTCTTTAATCGAGCAGTTATCTTATCAAAACGGACCGGTTCTTGGCGCCCATCTCGCTTGATCACGTACATGGTTGATAGATATATTTGAATTGGATAATCTGAAAGGAAGTGAATGAGTGAGGAATTTTATCGAACATGTAATGTGGATAGTTAGTGTGAACGGGGATGAGTGCTTATTTATAGATAGAGATGGTGTGGAGAGGAAGGAGAGTACGAGAGAAGCTAGTGGGAATTTTGAAGGATTTGAATTTGAAAGTTTTATGAGGTTTTTTATCTTTTCTTTTGTATATATATATTTTTGTTTATGTCTGCGGTTTGAGGGAATAATTCAAGTTTCCCGCTAGAATTATCTTCAGGCATTTATACTAATAGGGTATTGGGTTTAATTTTGCCTTTCCGAGCCTATGAAATCTCATTAATTTTTGTGAATCAAGCTTTTAAATTTCACTGTGAAAAAAATAGTAAAATCTTAATTAATCTTTTTGATTTTCAGTGCAGATAACATACTTTTGAGTAAATAAGGGGGCTAAACTTTGTTGCAGCAAGTAAACTAACCTTAATGTTGGTGATTCGTTGCAAGACTAAATTATTTTTTGTGTATAAGAAATCATATTTAAGTTATAAAATTAGATTAAAAAATATAAAAAAATTATTATGACAAACTTGTAAAAATATTAATTGAAACTGAATCAACTTGAAATACTTGTTAAAACCGCGATATATGTTATATAATTACAATAACCTGATAAAAAAACTAAAAAAAAAATTAATTATATAAAATAAATTAAAAAATAATAATTAAAAAAATGAGGATCAAAATCAACATATAAAATAAAATTTATATTTAATTTAAGGGTGAAAATAAAAAAAAATGAATTTAGTAAAAGAACAAAAAAAATTAAAAGAATAAGGCTCGAAATTGACATAAAAAATAAAAACAATATTGTAATTAAAGGGTGAAAAGAATATTAACTTTTACAAAAGAATCAAAAAGCAAAAAAATTAAAACTATGATGATCAAATTAAAAAATATAAAATCATTAATTTGAATTGAAATATAAAGTTGAAAACCAATCAAACTTTTATAAAATATCTAAGATAAAATATTAAAAATTCAAAATATTTAATAAATTAGGATTCAAATATGAAATTGAAAAATAATAAAATTTTTATAAAAAAAACCAAGACCAAAAATAAAAAATAAAAACTAAAATTAAAATATCAATAATTAAGAAGATTAAATTATAATATTTTAAGAAAAAAACACCAACAACAAACCGAACCACAATTGAACACATATCACATTGGGAAATCATAAATAATAATATAGTGAAAGGGTGTTTTTAAACGTTAAAAACATCCCATATGCTGCTTAAAAAGCATGAACTCCTTCCATGTGCATTTCCTTTTTATTTTTTTTGACTTAGCTAATACAAAACTACCTTTACCTTTAAGATGGCTTTCTAATTACAGAAAAAACAATGTGAAAAACTCAAAACCCCGCTTGACCTAGATCCGGAAATATATCGATCTACACACTTTATTTGACCCCAAGAGGTGGTGAGAGTCTAAATTCATTAGATGAATCCGCGATCATAGAAGAAAAAACAACATAATTCATACAAAGATTTTAAAACCAGACAGAACATGCAGGATCCATTTCCACCCATTGCTACTTGGTAACCAGTAGTCATTCAACGGCCATTGATTGATATGAAAGCTGCTGACAAGTGATTCAGCAAGCTTGCCATTTGTTAAGATTATCGAAGATCATTGTCCAATCGATTATTAAAAGAATCGGGCATTGCTTACAGAGGTTCACCAAAAAATAGATTTTAAATTTAAATATGTTCAGGTAAATTATAAAAGCAAAAATGCCTGACTACAAAATAAAAAATGAATATTTCATAACATTTTTTATCGAATATATTCGGCATTAAAAACAATAACTCGTAGATTTCCACCAAAGAATTTCTCTTTAGCAACCATCAAGCTTAATTCCTAGTTAAAGCAATATAAAAGGATGAAAAAAATTGTTCACCATAAGGTCGAAGCGTTGATTTTACACTTCCAATTTTAGCTTGGAAAATCTAGGGTATTGTACCATGGAAACCTTCAACAAACAGTGATGCCTTTTGGAAGTGATTTCCCCACAGCTATTTCTTGTTCATGAGAACTCGTTCACATCATGAACCTCGTATAAATAATTGTTTAAGGTCAAAGAGGATGATAATGATACAGGAACAGCGACACAGTAATGATCTATACTTTTATCTACTTTTGATTTCAAAGACAGGACAGCAATAAACCTCTTTTTTTTTTTTTTGTCGCTTCGCCATCGGT